CACCACCGCCAGCATCATCGTCATCATCATCACTCATCATCATCATCGTCGTCGTCGTCATCATCATCATCATCATTAGCATCAGCATCAGCATCAGCATCATCGTCATTCATCATCATCATCACCACCACCATCGTCCTCGCCATTGCCATGGCCATCAGAGCCACCACTCCTATCAATTCATTGTCCTCAGGTTCATCATCCGAGCCCAGTGACAGTTGCAGGAATCGCCCACCATCTAGTGTACCCAACAGCAACAGCCACGGTTCGCGAGACCAGAGCTTATGGTACCCTGGCCTGCATGGGAGGCTCAGGGTTTAGAACAGGACTTCAGGCGAGCCAAAGCGTAAGCCCCAAACCAACCAACCCGCTTTTAAGGCCGGGAAATGCAGAGAAGAATTAACACGAAATCTGCCCTTAATGGTCCGAGCCGAAGCTCCCTGAACCTCTCCGATCTTGCAGCAGGCCGTGTGGGCGAGAAGGCGAAGACACCCCTGGGCTTCAACAAGGACGATACTTAGAGGTTCATGGGACTTAGTAACTAGGGTTATAAGTACGGTAACTAGACTTATAACTACTTATAACCCCAATTAGCGTACTTATAACCTTACTTACTAAGTCCCATGATCCTCCAAGTAAGTTCCCTAAATCCGCAACCTTAAACCCGAAACCCCAAAGCCTAAAACCAAAGCCCTCACTGACCCCAACGCCCCACAATTTGAGGCCTGAAAGTCCCAGGCCCAAAAAAACGCCTCTGGGCCCGTCGGGTTTAGGGTTTAGGGTTTGTTTAGGGGTTAGGGTTTAGGGTTTAGGGGTTTTAGGGTTTAGGGTTTAGCCCCCAAAGCTCTCAACCCTTTGGATCCAAGAGCCTATGACCCCAAACCTAGAACCCAGAGCCCCAAAATCCCAGCAAGTTGGAACATGGGGTATGCCTTGTCCCAACGCTTAGAGCAAAGAGAAAAGGGGGACAGCACATCTGTTTCGTTGCCTCCAGTATCAACCCCTCAACCCCAAGCCCTAAACCCTACACCTTTCAACCCCAGACCCCTAAGCCCTACCAGTATAACCCTAAACCCCAACCCCTTAAACCCAAAGCCCCTAAGGCCTGATCCCCAACCCCTGGGCTTCAACAGGACGATTCTGAGCCAGCCCCGCAGGGCCCGTACTACACAGGCACAGCCGTGGCTGTCATTTTAGGGGTCGGTTTTGTGCTTGAGTTCAAGCGGTTCAGAGGGTTCAGGACATATTCTAGTATGTTTAGAAGTATGAGGTTCATGCAAGATTTGAAAACACTCTGCTCAAATAGTTTCGATGGCGTGCGTACGATCTGTACGGATATACTTTCCGTGCATATTCCGTAGTTTACAGCTGAGTGGACTTCATCGCTATAGCCTTTCGTAGAGGCATGGACGGGAGCTGCGACGTTTGTGTAGTATACTTCGCCTGCAGCCCACCGAAAGTTGATGCCGTCAGCCACCTCTAGGTGCGGGCTACAACGTGGCCATCGGCCGCCCTGTGGCGGATGAGCACTACAAGATGTGCATGGAGGCAAGTCTCTGGTGCTTCTTTGAAGCCCTGAAACCTACAGCCCTGTCCCGAAAGCCCTAAACTCTACAGCCCTGAGGCCGTAACCCTGAAATCACAACCCCCAACCACAAATGCCCAAACATCCAAAGTCCCCAAGCCCGGAAGACCACCTCTCCGAAACGCTTCAACCCCTCACGTAGGGGCCTTAGTAATTTAGAATAGGGTTTCGGGCCCATTGTACTAAGGCCCCTATAGTAAAGCCAAACAGCAAGCATAAGACCGTATCCTGCCTCTCAGATGGCTTTTCCACGGGTCAAGGAATGCAAGACTGCTGACGTACCAGTTGCGCAGCAACTCCCCAATATGCCCTGCTTGCCGTGAGGAAAAAGGAGACTGGGCTGTTGGGTTTAGGCAAGCTTTTCTCGGTCTGCTCCCAAACCATTCAATACTAACCCTAAACCCTAAACCGTCCCAACGGCCTGATTGTAGCGGACACCCTCGGCGACCTAATAAAAAGATTCGTCTGAAGCACCTAACTTAAAGGCTCAGATTCCCCTGAACGCGGGACGAAACCTGATGTAGAAGCCAACATAATTAGACATATTGTTCCTGGTAGTTCCTGCTGTCCTCTTTCTAGATAGAAACAATGCCTCGTTGCTCCGGCTCTTGTTGGGAGGCCGGCGTCAAGATCTCGGGCATCAACGCTGAGGCCAGCAGAAGACACAGTTTAAGTTGTTCGGGGTTTAGATTTAGGGCTTATGGGTTTAGGATTTCGGATTTAAGGTTTGGGGCTTCGGTCTGCCAATATCATCAAGCTGAAGCCCTCAATCGCGTTTTGCGGCAGAGTGCGATAAGAGACGGCAGAAGGCGGACCCAAGCAAAGAAAGGCGTGAAACCAGGATAACTCCACTCCCGCCGTCTGCATCTACCCCACAAATCCAAAATCGCAAACGCCCCTTTATGCAAGAGGCGAAATCTAGCCGAATCCCAATCGGCTCAAACCAACTGATGCGCAGGTCATGCCGGGACAGTGGGAGTTCCAGGCACTCGGTTTTTGCATCATCAAGCTTTGATCTGCGAAGGCTAGTGCAAGAGCCTGACTTTAAGCATACCGCTCCTCAGGATATATTGTCAAAACTATTACGGTATAGTATACCCCAATGATCCGGACGTGTTATTGAGGCCTCCAAATTAGTCCGGTGGCCTACGCTTGAGACCTCCGGCTGCTGCAGTTGAAGCATCTCTATTCAAGGCTAGATGAAGCCCGACACCCTACCCCCCAAACGGGTTACGGTTTGGGTTTAGGGGTTTAGG